TTTATTTTATATAGCGCCTTTAAAGGTGGCTTCTCAAAGCGCTTTACAGGATGACAATAACAATGAATAAGAAGACTACAACAATAAATAAGAAAATTTCACAAGACAGGACACAATTATAATTACAACAATACAACAATAACAATAGAGGAGACCGTGGAGACCGTAGCCTGAGCCCAAGTCTGAATTGGAAGAAGCAGGTAGACTGTGGATGGATGGTGAACTAGATTTATCTAGCAAAATAAAATTGATCAGTACTACATCCCAGTCAGGACTATCATCTAGCTTGTCTCCTTATTTACCCTGTTTAAGTTAACTGGGAAGGACTTGATTTTAGAAAAAATGAAGAAAGTCATCCAGTATAGAGTAGAGACTAAGTAGAGATGAACTCTTGAGAAGGGTCAAGACAGTGACTCTGTGAGGGAGAGGTGTTTTCTGTTTGCACCTACGACAACTGTCTTTCTGCCACTAAAGCCTGGGATTTTTCACACCCCTGCATTCAATCAGAGAGGAACAAAACAGACTGCTGGATGCCAAATGGCATGTTCCTGTCCTGTTTAGTTTGTGTCTGAAAGACTTCAGACAGTGTCCTGTGCCTAGCGTGTGTCTTTGATATGTTTCGCCTACATTTAATGTAGAAAGTGTAACTACAGTCAAGCGAGCATATTTACTGAGTGCTGTGCTATGCTCCACTTCAGCTGATTGAATAAAAGATCTCTGTTTGACAGTCTCCAAACCTGAGTGAAGACTGCGTTTTCTTTGACACACTGAAACAACTTGATCAGTCACTGTGCTGCAGGGCATATCAGTGTCCCATGATATAATAACACCAATAAGCCCAAAGAGCTGAGTGGAGTCTGAGATATATAAAATTGTCACCCTCAGGGAGTGTGCACATCTTCCTCAGATCATCTCCAATGTGCAAACGTTACATTTGTAATGAAACTTTATTAGACCTTTTGATGGGTGAATTAATGCTGTGTATCCTCCTGGATGAAACAATATAGGTATTTATAATATATATATATAGACATTAATAAACAGCTGTTAAGAGAAAGAGGTAAGAGTAATGTAACAGAGATGTATTCAGTATATTCCCTGCATCATCAAACTGAATAATGTCATGAAACAAGTCAAGACTGTGAATTGTAAAGCAGGCTCTTATTTCAATGCAGGCTTGCAAAAAAGATCAAATTTTAATCAGGCAGAGGGTTTGCCAGGCAGAAGGTGGGAGAGCTACAGCACACATTACATGTATTTATTGCCATGCTTGAAAATGAAAAGAATAATATTACATTACATGTATTTATTGCCATGCTTGAAAATGAAAAGAATAATATTAATTTTTGTGCCTAAGTTAACAACTCCATGTTAAATGACCATTTACAAACAAATTAATAAAACCCATCCCTTCAAAATAATATTATTAAAGCATGAATGAGGTCTTATTGGATTTTGATATGCAGTGCATTAAATTCATTATGTATCATAAAACCTTTAAATCCAGTGAATAATGGCACTTACAAAAAAAATCATTGTGATTTAAGGCCACATACTGGTGCATGTAATTAAGCAATTGTTATGAGTAAGCACTCATTCTTCCATTTTCTAACTGCTTCTTCCCATTAGGGTTGTGAGGGAGCCAGAGTGTATCCCAGCAAGCAATGGGCACAGGGCAGGATACACCCTAGATGAGACGCCAATCCATCACGCAATGAGCGAATATCATTGTTTCAAATCATACTTTTTTATACTGGTTCTCATGTAAACAATGTATGAATTTGGATTAATCATCAGAAAGCTGTATATTTCTAGTAAAGAGTGTGGCTAACTGGAGCATATCCCAGAAACATAGTAGTCAAGGCAGGGCTAATTTAAAAATGCCAATTAACCTAGCTGGCATGTCTGAGAAGCCAAATGGAGCAAACTATGTGGATAACATGTACACTCCATATAGAAGGTTCTCCAAGCCAGAATGAATCCCAAAAATAACCATCACACCACTGTGCTGCCCTTGAAATTAATTCACACAATCAAAATGAATTGGAAATTAAAATGAAAAAGATATAAAACAGAGACCCATATGGGAAATTTACCTTGTCTTATATTTCTTTACTTTTATCCCGTGTTTAGTAATTTGATTTTCAGGCAAAATGATCTGCATTGCATTGACATTTCAGTGAATTTAAACATGCAGAAGAACTCTGTAACACACATAATCAAAATAAGCACTGTTAAAATAGAATACAGTGATTTCTTTCTGTTTTAGTCATAGAAATTTGTTGTTTCTAACCATGAGGACAAAGTTTGAATGCAAATTGATCCCACCACATGAATGAGTCTAGTGGTACAGTAACTGTACAGTACATATACTCCACATGAAAATCAGAAACGTGAATCACTTTGGCCTGTCAGAATTCAGGACAAACATTTATCACCGTTACTTTTATTTGTGTTGGGCTGCATAGTAAAGATTACATGTCAGGCATCATCTAAGTCATTCTGTTATTTTATTTCTAAGATTGGTGTGTGTGTAGTTGAAAGGGGTGTACTATAAGTGTGCCTTGTCTTCACTCCTCCATTTCACCATTTATCTTCATTTTGTTTTATTAATTATTCATCCTAATTCTTTAGCAACCCCAGCACAAAAAGGCAGTGAGCAATTTAAAATATGCGTCATATCTAAATGCGGCAAATCCATGGTCAAATATAACGTTGGGTTTCATCTTCAGAAGATCTCTCCATCTTCTGCCAAGAAAAGGGGATTTCAGGATTTTTGTTTTGCCCTAAAGTCGTCTTCGTAAAGACCATTACGTTGTGGAATGTAATCTTGTCTGAAAGTATTTTGCTAATAAAGTCTATTCAGTATTGGAATCGACTAACCAGAAGCAGGACACTATTTTTGGTCAACTGTCAACGAAAATTAAAAGAAATGTAAACTTTCCTACATACTGTAATAGGATTTTTTTTAAATAACTGTGTATGTACAGTTTGGAACGGTAAACAAATCAACAAATGTTATGAGAAACTACTTCAGCAAGATTATTAATAGTTAATATTCCTGGACTCATATTGTACCTCCATACAATCGACAGAAAACAGCTATTTTTTACATATTATTTTGTTTTACTTTTCCCACCCATTTTGTTGCCAGCATGATCACTTTCTTATCAGTTGGTTGTCGGCTGTGGGAATGTCTTGTGCAAATAATGCAATACGAACTGGCTTTCCAGGATGTCGTCCACACAACGTGTAAACGCATCGCTACATTTAATCAAGAAAGACAAAATATGCTATAATGCACAAGATTGTTTTCGCTCTTATTTTGCTCGGTACAACTATTTGTTATACATATATAAACTCGTGTGTTACTATGCCCAGAATGTGGGTTATTGAAACTTTCCACATCCAGTGCGCACTCACCACAATCAAGGAATTTTACAAACGTTCCTAGACTCACGCGTTGTGAACATTTATACCAGTGAGTGAAAACGTCTTTAAGTATTCCCGTACAAACAGCACTATTGCACACAGAACACGCTTTAAAAACTTCTAGACATCTTAGAATGTTCTAAGACCAACTCGTCTCAGCTACAGTAAATCGCTCATCGGTCAGCTGGCGCAAAAAAAGCATTTTAAATGTGTCGTTTTATCTTTATAACAAGGTAAGGATCTCTGGAAGTCTTGTAGACGAAGTCTACCTCTCGTTTTAAAATAAAAAAACCCCATCTGAAGTGAGTTCCTCGTGTGAAACTCTGTTTTCCTTTTTAAGAACAGTAAAATCTATTATTTGTGTGCTCTCTCACCGCTATTACAGCATTAGATTAATGATAGAAAACTATTTTTAAGAGCAAATTATATGCCAAAACTGCATTTTAATTAACACCCTCTTAATTAATGCACATGCCTTTCCCGTGCATAAAGAAACGTGTATTAGGTAGTTATATAATGCTCATTTCAGTAGAATGGCTGTAAGGGATACAGAGTCACCAGCCTTCCCCCCAGCAGTAATGATTAAAGGAAGCAGTCATATCACGAACATTAATGAACACAGAACAGCCTTTGATTAAGATTATACAACAGAGAATTCTTTATTCTCTTCGCTTGTCCGAAACGAATCTTATATTAATTGGAAGTGTGGACAGGTGTTTTTTCGGTTGTCACGGCACTCGGATCTGACGGGCACAATAAAACTTCAGCATTCAACACTCGGCATCCAATGCCTAGCCTCTTTTTAGAATTTTTCATTTGCTGCTGCCTCCACCTGCCGACAGTTAAAAAAATGCATGACAAAGAATTCATCAGAACTGGAGCGCTGCACAGACTTCATATCCACTAGCAATGAAAAAGAATGAAAGCACATTGAGTTAGTCTTCATATATGGAACCTTTCAGCTGATACTTATTAAGTACTCGGTCACAAGCCTTCTATGAAAACGTGAGGATCAGAGTCCTGCGTGTCTTCTTCCCTTTTTATAGAAAGACGATAAAACTGTTGTAATTTAGATTAATTAAGAAGGCTGAGAATGGCGTCAATTGGAGACTTCGATCCTCTTCACTCCAGCGTCCCTGCAACTAAAATTGAAATCACCGTTTCGTGCAGGTAAGCGCGCATGATTTGTTATGTTAAGAAATATCACATATCAGCACTGACACGTTCCAACTGCTAGAAATAAAAACCTATTAAAAAAAATCGCAGCAGGCTGCCGAACTTCAAACATTTCATCTTTTTTTTTTAAGTTGCAAGCCGTGTTGCGATAAAGGCGATTGAGGCATTCAAAACAAGGGTGAAATGGTAAAGACGCTACAAGTGAAAAGGCGTTAAGTACGCTGGATGCACCCCACAGACTGCGAAAGCATGCGTGGTGGATGTGTAATAAAAGCGTGTTTTTTCATGTTCTGTTAAATGTGGTCAACAATAAACACCTTTCCGCAATTTAATAGTTAAGCTTAGCCGTCATAAGCAGCTATTCCGTATCGACACTTGGAATACTGCTTTTGCGTGTGTAGGTTCGAGCGTACAAGTACTATTGGAGCGTATGCATAACATAAAATGCACTCACCTGCTATTCATTTGGGGTGGGTCCTACATTTCAAGTCTAGAATATCTTTGGAGAGTTCTGCACCCAGTGGCTTGTGGCTTAATTCCAGTCATTTGGGTTGATTTTCTCTCAATAGAGTAAGGGTGATTATTAAAAGTTTAAAAGCAGGAATTTGTCAGGTAACAAAATTCAGTTTTAAAAATTAGTCGGGTGAATTGGGTTTTCTGGAAGAGAATGACAAAACCTGATTTTAGTTAAGTAGACATTAACTGTGTTCTGCCTGGGCAGTTGTACTTGCAAATTAGGCATTGCAGGTTGTTGTAATGTGATGTACTGTACCAGCAACCTTTATTCCGTTATTTATGGAAAGAAACAATCCTGTGGTGTACCTATAGAGAGTGTGCATTTAGATTAGCAAACAGAGAAGTTTGTTTAATAGGTGATGTTAAACTAAAACTAAATGCTCTTGTTTTCTGCTTTCTTAGCAAAATGAACCCACAAAACCTGCAATGCAACTGTAATTAGTGTCTATTTTGTTATTGTCTAATATGTTATCTTGTGGAAAAAACTTATTTGCCAGTAGGATCTAAGGAATGTCAGTTTATTGCAGAAAACTGAAATAGCTTTGCTTTTTAATTGTGCATTCAAAATAGTTCAGTATACTCAATATAGTTTGTAGTCTTTAATTTTTTTAAGCACTTTAGGTTATTAAGCAATACCTATCATAAAAAAATAACATTACTGTTGCAATACAATATCTATCAAGCACGAGAATAAGTCTAATAAAAGTGATTAAACTGTGTTAAAGAATATGTGGCATTTCTAATTTCATCATCGGTGTGTGTTGTATACCATGGTAAATTTATTTTTTTTAATTACATTTATAGGTGATCACTTATCAGATTTGACTCTGTTCCCTGTTAATATTGAAATATAACTTTACTATTTTCACATCTTTGTAGCTACCTTTTTTGAGTCGGTTGACTTGTTGTCGAACCAACCAATAATTTCTTGTCTTTTCTCCTGTACAGTATGCTTGATTTTTATCAGTGGGTGTGTGTGGAAGCAGTTTTGTTATAAAGCATTCCAGGAAGCTCTCACCTTTCAGATTTTGAGGGAATGAGAAAGGAAGGATCCGAACAGTATTTCGGTCTGAATGTGGAGTACGTTAGACAAATGGGCCATTGGTCTCAGTTTTATAGGCTTATGCAATGTGGCTTTTTTTTTTTAGAAACAAGATAAGGTTATTTGCGAGCAAAAAGAATTGTTAATGCAACTCAAACAGTGCTGTGGATTAGATACTGCTGTAGACTGTTTCATGCACAGTATGTACAGTATACAGATTGTTCCTAGTTAGTTGCTTCCTATATTCACATCTTTCCATCACATTTTAAATTGTTCTTTTTCTTTATCTTCTTCAAAGAAGCTATGACTGGAGGGTTAGACTAACCTATCCTTATTTGAAGATCTGCAACCAATTCCATAAAATTCTTTAACCATTTCATTAATCATCTAGCTTCTTGCATCACTGGTTCTTTTTGTATCATTACTTTTAATGCAAATGCCAAAAGCCAAGATGGAATAGACCAGTTAAATAAGTACACCGATCTGAATTGCTCTTTTAAGGTTTTGGAAAACTGCCCATTAACTTCCATGGTATTAAAGGTACCACGTGTGATGTTGGAATCTGAAAAAAGTCTATAATTTTTTATTTTGTGAAGTTATTTTTTAAATTTTGGTATATCTACATCATATTACACATTATTTGTTGTGTTTTTGTATTCGATAGCTAACAAATAGCAACACAGTGGCTAGACAGTTAGTGCTGCTGTCGCACATCTCTAGTGCTCTGTGTTTGGACATCTGTCTGTGTGGAGTTCACATATTGTTCCTTGTTCTCATTGGGTTTTTCTTGAGCTCTGGTTTGCTCCCATTACCCAGGTTAGGTTTTGATTGGTTTTTCTAAATTGTTTGTGTCTGTGGCCCTGCAGTAGGCTGGCATCCCATCCAGTTTGAGAGCAGTCATGTGCTCTCAGTCCAGCCTTGTGCCTTATGATTCCAGGACAGGACCCGGTTTTCTGTGATCAGAACAACTTGGGTGCAATGAATGAAATCCTTATATTCAGTTTTTTTTTCCCACTTGTTTTTCAGCCATATGTGAAATTTTGAATTGCATCATAAAAAGGGAAAAGTCAACCTGTATCTTGACTAATATTCATGGACAGGAGAGGTTTATAATGAGTTACATAAAATTAATATAGTACCGTCCTGCATTGAACTTTGCATTTTGGCAATTTGAAGTTTTTACTTTCAGTTGCTTGACATTCATGCCCCTTTGGGGAATATCAGCATTATCCTAAGCTTTTATAATAAAGCTACTGGTGTTGTATGGAACAGCATTCAAATAAAATTATTAATAATATACAGTAATATTAAAACCATAGTATCTCAAGGATGCTTTTACAAATTTGTAATTAGTAAATGCCCAATTAGTGTAATGAAAGCCATGAAAACCATAGATTGAGTTTGAATTGATTGCTAAGATACCAACAAGCAGATCAATGCATTTAGGCCACAGGTGCCGCTGAAGCAGGTCTTTGTGGATCCATCCCATGACCATCCCATAATCAGTCATGTATTTGACAAGCCAGACAGTTGCCTAATTCATCCCAGACAAGGCTCACATTTTCCAACAATAAGCTTGATTTCCTTAAACAGATGATTAGAATAACATTAAACACTAAACATTAAGAAACGCACACTTGCTGTCATACTGTAGACAAGGAAGGTGAGGAACTTATTTTACTTAGTGGTGCATCTCTTCTGTCATGTCCTGTGTTAAAAAAAAAATCTTTTAAAAACCTGTTGTGACTTGGAGGTTGTTGCAAACTACTCTTGATGCTGGAACATTTAAATAAAGGGCTCTGTTTTAGCATCTTAAAAATTCCTGTTGGCGATTATTAGTAATCTTTATTTATTTAGTGTGTTTATTTGTTGTGTTTCATTTCCAGTGTTACATGTATAAAGAAATCTAATTAATACAGTTTTTAGTTTTTATTACCACTATATTAATAAACTCATCCAATGACAATGACTTTTATTTACCATTTTAGGGGCAGATATACACTGCTGTGCAAAATTCATAACACGTAGTATAGTGTTAATTGTTTTTCTCCTCAGTATTTTCACTTCTTTATGCATAAGCATTGTTTTGGCAATCTTCTACTGAAACCTCAGCCATTTTAAGATAATCATGATCTCTAAATTGAAGCAAAAATTAGGCATTTTAGTTTAATGGTTTTCATATTAATGAAGAATACCTTTTGCATCATCATGTAAAGGCAAATGTTGCATCTCATTCAAACCATACTGTAGGTGACCATGCATGTGTCTGCATATAAGCACCTGAATCATCAGTGGTACACTGCTTCTCCAGCAGCTGATACCAGAGCAGTTGAAGCACTGTTTCTGTTTCACCAAAGGTACAGTTAATGTCCTTGCTCTTCACAGCCACGACTTGTCACATGTCATGTGTTCCTTGAATGAAGCTGTGTGGTCTAAGGAGGTGGTTCCTTAATCAGACACTATTAATTTAATAGTGTCTTTTTTTCTTCTCTATTGTGCAAGATGTACTCTGCCAGTGAATAACCAAGAGCCAGCTCAGTTGGCAAAGGTGTGGACACATTTACTACTCATTCAGTTTCCACTATGTTCAGGATGATGTTACATCGGAGTAGACAGAATGTAGCATTATAAAGAATGCTGGGCTGAAAATTTGTGACGTTTTGACTTTTTCTTACAGTATAATGAGTTTGCAAAAATGAATAACTTGTTTCTATATCTGCTACAAATATGTACCCTGAGATGCAGTGCCATGAAAAAGTCTTTGTGAATTGATTTAATGTTCATTCACAAAATTGAATTTGTAAGAGAAAACTGAAAATCCTTTAAAAAAAAAATCATAGCCTTACTTCTGATGATTTTGTCATGCGACTCTGTACAGTACATGCAAGCTTGTGCATGTATGGAGCTGCACAGTATGCAGGCTGTAAGATCACTTCAGTCTTTATTACTTTTAATCATGATCATTTGCCGTACCAGCAACAGGGAAATAAATACCACTTCCAATGGTATATGATTGTTCTAGATTATTTGTGGGCCAGATCAGGCTCAGTTTACTGCTGACAAATCTTGACAAACTGTAGCACACAGGGGCAGGTGTTGCTGAAGATGTCCCCATTGGGATTTAAAATGGATCCACTTTGGGGAATAATGAATGTTCTGGTCAGGAGCAGAATTTGTGGAGACTGACACTGCAGAAGGAGAGGCAAGCTGCATAGCAGCTCTCAGGGGTCTTGCCTTCTGTAGCTTGTCATCACAGAGAGAAAATAAACAAGACTTGCTGCTCAATTCATTGATCGAAGTCAATTGAAACAGATGTAAGACTGTAATATTCCAACATTCCTTCGGATGAGGAAGGAAGCCTCCAAGAAAATCGTTAGGAGTGGAATTTGCATAGCACAGAACACTTTCAGACAGGAAATGTGTCTTATAATGAAAGATTAGTTTAATTACACTCTATATTAATAGATTAATAGATGAGGTCCTGTTTTAGATGTATAATAAAGATGCCTCATTAGGGGGAAATCTTTTTCTCAATTAAACCTTTTATAAAAAATACTTTTCTTTTTGAACAGAACAAAATGAATACCATCTTTTATTCTAGACATTTTTCTTATTGATGATGTTTTGTCCTGTTTTTTTTTAGCTCATAGTGAAAAACATAAGTGTTTGTGTGAAACATGTGATTTCATGCAGAATTTAGAGTTGAGTATCAATCCTGTCAATGTAGTACAATACGTTTTGGACGTGGCAGTGGTGGTTATTACTCGTTTTGAAACTTAAATCAATTTTCATTCTGACCTGGACATCATTTTTAGATGGCAGCTTGATCAGACACAAATGGATTGTGATGATGAGTGAGCACGGTCAATATCATCGCTTAACTACTGCAGTTCACGGTAACTATCACTTCTGAGAAATTTTATTTTTGGCATTTTGTCTTTTTATCAGTGACAAGTAGACAATGGTGTCAGTTATGTGCCCAGCTAGGTTTTTATTTCTTTCTTATTTACTGTAGCAACAGTATAAACCACTAAGTCCATTGTAGGTCTTAATGTTGGGAAAATTACATTTACAGACCATTGTGACTCTGCCTTCTTCCTGAATTGCAAGAGCTGACTTTAAAAGGAAGTGGTAAAATTGACAGATCTGGGTCAAACAGTCCCCTAACACTGGAAGACCAAGCATTTCAGGCCTCTGAACATCAAGTCTGGCCATCACACAATCGACAGTGGGGATCTGTCACACAAATGAATACCCTGATGGAAGTATAGGTCCAAGCATTACATGATCATTAATTAGTACAGGAAACAATGAACAAGTTGTAGATTTAAACAGCAACTATGAAAATGAGACCTGATCTTTATTATGCTTGAACAACTAAAGATATTGCTGAATTAGAAGCAACCGTGTGTTAAATGTAGAGCAGCAGCACAACATTGCTTGAAGGGATTAAATATAAATTCTGTGGCATCTTTGGCATAGGTAGTGATCCTATGCCCAATGCAGAAGAGTGATTAAAAAGGAAAATCCTGTGGGGAGTAATAAGCTGTGGTTTAATTAATGTTTTCACACAGTCTGAAACCAATTCATGGCAGCTGCATCATCAGTTTCTACATGCCTAGCTTTATTAGTACAGTGGTTCCAATTCTGCTGCTGGTAATTCAACTGCGGTCTTCAAAAAGTAATCAGATTTTTTATTACAGACGCCAAAAGAGTCTAGTTAGTGTGTTGCTGTTATGTGTGTTTAGCTCATAGGAAACTGTTCTTTTAGGGATAAGATGAACCTTTTCATCGGCAGCTGTACTGCGAAATTTACTTTAAAGCATATGAAAGCTGGACTTCCAGAAAGGTCTGTCTTCCAGATTATTCACAGTGATTTTGTTTTCTAGAACCATGCCAGGCCAGATGTCCCATTGATTCATACAGAGGAACAAATTCCATTTTAAATATATTTATATAGTCATGCATTAAGATCACAGAAAAAAAATAAACTTTTTAGTGTGTGGTTATACAGTATGTACTCGTCTTACATCTGCTCTTCCAAAATCGAGGTATTTAACTAACTTCCACACAAATTGGGGGAAAAAATAGTGAATCAGGTTTAAAGGTTTAATTCTTTGTTACTGTAAAACTGCATAATATGTTTATACCAAAAGGTGTTCCTTGCTTTTTAAAACAATTTATATTGACTGATATGGTTGGCAGAGCACTTGCAGTACAGCTTCATTTCATTGGTCGGAGCTAGCAGACTGTTATTAAAAGATATTTGGAGAGAATATTGAGAATTGGTATTGAGGGTTTCAAATGACCATTAGCAGCTGTGATTGGTAAAATTCAATTTCAAATATTTTTACTTGACTGGGTGATGTAAAGAGCACCACTGATGCGTTGTAAAGGTGTTTATAAAGGGATTTCAAGGATTAATGGGATGTGAGGATGCCAGAATATGGAATGGAGTAAATATGTAATGCAAATGTAATGTAATGCAACTACACAGCGAAGGCTGTGGCTTGTTCAATCAATAATTAAGGCTCAAAAGATTTAAATTTTCATTCTCTCAATAAAACTTAATGTGTACTTCTTCTCATCTGGGAAAAGAAACGAGTTGCCCTTCTTCGAAATTCTACTTAATCTTCATGTCTTTGTCATTATGTCTGGCCTAGTAACCAATAGATGAAGGTTGTCCTGTTTTTAAAAAGAAAGCACAAGACATTGCTCTGCAGTTTTGTAAAATGTTGGTCCCGATGAGATATTTACTGTGCTTAACCATACTTTTTTTTTACTTCACCTTTATTGTTTCTTCCTGGAAATAATTAAATCTAACTCTGTTTCTGGGATACCTTTATTTTGATATTTTCCTTAAGTGTCACTTCTTTCACCAGGAGAACATCAGTGTAAGCAGTTTGCAAGATATTCTTTCATATTTCTTTAAGGGCATCTACATCTGAAACTGGAATAATTATTGGTCCTCAGTTAGATTCGCACTCAGAGATAGATGTATTTGAACATAGTACTATGCAGTCTTTAAGATAAACATAGATAAGAATCTCCAATTTACTAAAATGTGCATCATTGAATATACATTAGGCACAGTTATTACATCTGGATCTGCATAATGTTTGATGCGATAACCTAATTACCCATGCCATAAAATCTTGCAAAAGCGGGAAGCACATGCCTTCTACTGTATATACACCTTTTGTTGTTCAATACCATTAAGTGTTGGAAGAAACATGTCCTGGATTATTCTACTCCCTGGTGAATGTTTTTTTTTTACTTGAACTCATCTCAGAAATATTGCTTTATTGAGCGTTTCTGAAGCTGCAACACTGTTTACTTTGTGTTTATTGTAGCATTGGCTTCTGTGATGCAATTTGCTTGCATTCAGCTTTCTCAAAAGCTTATTTCCAGGGTCGTGATTAAAACGGGAAGGATTGAATCATGTCTGTATTGGCTGCTCTCAAATGGCCACCTCTGCAAGATTAGATAATTAACAACAATTAAAGGACCGCATTTGATTACGTGGTGTAACTTTTTGTTCCTGCACACTTGTTTGTGCCTCACTGACTGGACCCTCTGTTAAAGGTGAAAAACGCCAGATCAAGTGCTGTTGTCATGGCCCTCTTACATTGTGAAATATATTTTTCTTGCTGCACCAACATCTGTACTAATATTAGGACAAACCCCCCTCCGCTACCCATCATTAGAAGGCAAGATTGGTTCTTTAATTCCTATTTAGAATTCCAGGTATGGGTAAGGCAGGATTATATCCTTCACAGGACATCAATGATGTTAGCTGAGGTATTGCAAACGAATTCCTGTTCTACATGTGGTTTTGTCTTATTTAACAAGCTTGTAACTTGTATTTCTTGTGTTACTCTTTCTTGCTGTAAGATTTAGATACCTCTCATAAGATTTGTTACATAGTGATAATGTGGACATTGGTTGCTGTATTTAATGACGGAACGAAAAACAGGTTTTTATGAAATAGTGTTGCTTACTGTGCATTCATTAATCATCAAAAAGGCAGGTTTTTATTGCTGGCTGGTCTAACGCAGATTTCTCTTTTTAACGTCCTTTTTTCTGTCTTGTTTCCATAGGAACCTTCTGGATATGGACACATTCTCCAAGTCTGATCCTGGTATGTAATGCATATTTTTAAAGAGTAGGGGTTAAATGTCAGTGCCTTTATGTATAAAGGTTTCCTTCATTAATTTGGTTGCTGGGCTGTCAGATCTAAGACTATTATTACAATTCTTTGTTACAGAGGTTTGCTCAGGTCATGAGTAAATTGGTTCTTACATTTCCTTGTTAGATTCCAAGGGAAAAAATACTTTACTGAGAGTACAGATAGTATCCCGTGGCAATCTTCCAGAAAACCCTTGAAAATAGAAATACTGTAAGCCCAAGGTCATGTACTGCATCAAACTGACACATTTTTTATTTTACGAAAGGACAAGTAGAAACGAAGGCGAGTTTATTTAAAATGGCACTTTTGTGGGAGTCTGCTATCAAAGCTATCAAACCATGTTGTCAAAGCTAATACTCCTTCTCCTTTCAAAAAACAGCTGGATCAGATCCTTGGATCCATTACCTACTGTCAACCACATGAAGTAAATGGGCCGAATGACGTCATTAAGTTTACAGTCCTTTTGGATTCTTTCCAGGATAGAAAGTTCATCTAGGATATGGCTATATGCTTTTAGCCTTACCTCTCCTTGATTTCAGCATTTCCTTCTATATAATCACAATTTTTGGCTTTCTGTTCTGTTTTCTACAATGTGCAGCTTGAGACCTTGATTTATTAGTTAATGTGAATGGGTCCCTTTGACAGTTTTCCAGCTGTCTGTGTGCTGTGTGTGGTGTTTACAATGTACTTGCATGACAGACTACATACCTGTTTGCATTCAGATGCACTGTGCCTATTAATATGTTTGATCTGTTTCTTGCTGACTGCTCATATGCTCTCGGGGTGATGACTACCCAGAATCATTTCTTGTCCCTGACAAATTTACCAAGTGTGTCTCTATAGTTAGCAAAATAGGGAGTCTGATTCTTAATCTAAAATTGCTCCATTGAATACGTCTTACAAATCTTAAATTAAATACCTTGAAAATATGTATTTGTTCAAGTTTATTATTATAAGGGAAATGATTCAACACCCACAATTTAATTTTAAAATGTTTCAAATAGATTGTATGCAACTCTCCTTATTCCTTAATTACATATTAACTAAAATATATTAGCTGTGGTGGTTTAGACTACTTTTATTTTTCTTACAGTCCCTGTTCCCCTATTTTATGTTTGCAACTGTATATTTTAATTAATAATATATTAAGCTGGGTTAGTGTAGTATTATTTGATTACAAGGATCTATGTAACTGAAATCCCCCAGTTTCTTCCTAGGGCAATATATATTTCTACTATCATTATTTACTATAAATCATAATATGAATATTGAGTTTTTAAACTTGCCTCTATTAGAAAGCTGTATACTAAGAAATCAAATTGTTTAAGAAGGGATAGCCAAATGATATCAAAATAAAATAAAATGATAGGTGAAATACAGTATTGCATCTTAAACACAATATCCAAAAAATGTCAGGTCAGGACTCATATTGAGAAAGCTGATTGGGAACCTGTATTTAAAGTTGTTTCTGCATTCTTTTACCTGTATGTTCAGACCAAAAGCACAGGGAAGGGTTTTTTTGGAAGGATTTCCATCATGAATTTATACTATTGATTAAATATTGGGTTAATTGGTTAAGGAATTATGTTTGTGTACAACAGGAGGCATAGTGTAATGCAGGGTACAATTTGAAACATAAGAGAAAACTCAGTTCAAATATAAGCGTTAGAGAATGGTGCTGTATTTTAGCATTATAGCTTCATTTGAAGTTCTCAAGTCAGGAATAGTTGGTAGAGTTGTGAATTGTTCTGTAAATGATTTGGAAAAGCTGTCTCAGTTAGTACCACCTTTGGTTATAATGCAAAGATAGTTATTGGTACTGTTGGTTGCCCTTTGAGCTATATCTGTAGTATATCTGAGAAATATTCATTTGTTTGCAAAATACAATATCAACAAGATTTCTGTATTTAATTGTGTTTATCATTTGATACTTAATGGTTTGGTTTACAAGTTATTTTCATTTGGAAACATAATTGAAATGAAGTTACAAGTTATTCAGGAAACCTTTTAGGATTCTAATTTGAGCCTCTTCTCTAAATGTCATTTTTTTTTTCAGGTAAATAGATAACCTTTTACTTGTTCAATCACATTGAAGATGCTCATATTTTAAAATGGATTGTAAATTGTTTTCTTGACCAAATTGTTTTTCAAAACTTGCTTTTGAGTTTTAGTAGTTAACTTATCATTTTTAGCCTAGAAAATTCAATTTTTACACTATTTGCTTTAATGTATCTCAAACACTGAGGCCTGCACACTACTATTAGTATCACAGCTTTAAGTTGATTAATGTTATCATGACTGGACGTGATGCATAAAAAAGTGCAACAATATTAAGATCACCCTCCCTTCAATTTCCATCTGTTGGGTTCTCTTCCTAGTGTATATCAGGTCATATCATAGTCAACCTTGGCTTTAAGCTGAAACCTTTAGGAAATTTAATTTAATTTTAAAGTTAGCCTATTTTACAGTGAACAGACGTGACATTTAGAAAGTCAGACAGTAGTGTGATGAACCATTTTCTTTGCAAAAGGCTCAGTAGATGCTGGTGAGCTTTGACCGCTGTCAGTTGTGTCCCTTCGTGAATTTTAAGTCTTGCTATCCTCTAAAGAGAGATCCATGACTGATATATTGGAGTACTGCAAAATCAAACAGATTAGCGTCAGGTTTTCTGAAATAGATAATGACCTGGAAGCTGGTGTTCCAGACATCAAAAGTCAGGAATTAACTTTAAAGGAGAATGCTCTATTCAAGCACGGCCTTTTATCTGAGAGTTCACATTCAAAAGCAACCTGTTCATCAGATCTGTCACACAGGCCATAGACAAGAGTGAAAGCTTGTTACTCTTCCAAAAATAAATTGTAGAAAAACCACCTGCCTCTGATGCTGTACTGCACGTGGTCTCCATTTATAAAGGAATCTGCTTCTGTATTTTCTTCCAATAATCTGTTTCGGCTGAAAGATCAAATTACTCCTATCCACCTGACTTTTCTTAATAGCTCTCTCTAACAGTTACCAGTTTCTACCGTCCAATTACTGTGATTTTTTTCATCTTTAATATCCTAAAAGCTGCTTTTAACATACCAATGTGAAAAGAAATCTGAGTGTAACATGCCAATCATCTGGTGATTGTAAGATCTTTTCAGAAAGTGAATAAAAGTATTTTGGTGGTTTTGGAGCAGCTATGAATTTACCCGATTTTCACATTTCCTTGTAAATTGCATTCCTTCTATATTGCAAGCCTCCTTTTACCAATACACGAATGTTCTCTTAAGATAAATATTATAACACCCATAAACCATTTTCTAAAATGCTGAGTAGACCTTTCATTAGAAAGAGGATGTTTGTTACAAGCAAAAGAAACTGAAAAACAGGGACAAAAATGAACTGATTTTTTTAAATAAAAAGTCTAAAATTTAAGTATTCTAAAAAACTTTTGGTTTAGTTCTAAAATTGGGAGATTGTATTCCCTTGAGGCCTTCCTGCAGCTGAAAATCTCAGGAAATCAAATAGTTTGGTCTCTTGAAATTGACTTAGATGGTACACAGCTTACCTCCAGCTTATCTGGCCATCAATGAAAATTCCCAGGAATAGCCAACATTAAAGACAACTTTGTTTTAAAGAGACCTTAAATCTATTCATTAATGTCATACAACTGGTACTGTGTCTTCTATCTCCAGATCTCACACAGGTCAAATTCTCTGTTTAAATCAGCTTGAAAATAAAGGCTAAATAAAGGCTGAATTGGTTGGAATTTTCAATTTGAGGTTTTTGTTGTCCACAATGTGGAATGCAATTCATTAAGTCACCCCGTTGAAGACATTGCAGTTACTTCAGGGAGTTTTTAATGGAACATAGCCATCATCTCATTTAAAGGTAGAGGATCTTCTGTACTGGAGCCTTTGCAGCAGTCACTTTCTATAAAGTATGCAATCTGTCTGCCACAAGCTTAAAGACACAGCAGTAATTTCCTAAGCGATCACGGATTTATTTATTTTCCCCACTTTTCTTTGTGCAGAGATGAACAATGTCCTTGTGTGCTTCACGCATCAGCAAGTATATCGGCAGAGGCATGTTTATGGGACTTGATGGGGTTATTTCCTTATTGTGATTTTAGATCCCACATCGTGTGGGTGATGCCAGTCACATAGCAGAGATGCCTTGCAGTAACAGTAAGGTTATGCACTTAATGAGGAAAGTTTGACCTTGATGGCACAAGGAGACTTCGGAATGAAGCTGATTTATGCCCTGCTCTTGCATCTTCAAGGGATGTCCTTAATTCCAGACATGAACTAAATATACCCCCTCAGAGGCTTTCTTCACAACTATTCAAAGTACAGTATTTGATTGCTAGTACTACAATGAAAGGGCTAATTAATTATTATTTTTGTGCAGTTGGTGTTTCACACAGCTTGTTCACCAGGCAGGTAAACAAAGCAATTACATAGTCATAGATGTGGGGGAAAAAAAAACTAAAGATACATTTTGGGTAAAAATAACGTTTTGCCTTAATGTGGTTTTACACTCAAAATTACTAGTAATTGTCAGCAGATCTGCATATTATAATTAAAAGCTAGCGATACTGCTGAATTCCACATTGAGTAGTACTACTGTAGTTACAACTGTATGTCTTTAACTGCTGAAGTCAATATCAGTTTAACAAAATTTTCCTTTATGCTGCATTAAACTTAGACGTACTGTATGTCTGAAATCTTTGTCAGATTCAGCCGTGCAATACATTTTAAAACGATCCTCACTTTTTGTATTGAAGGTTGTATAATATCCAGACTTTATTGGATGGAGTCTGACCTCCCAAGGTCACTTTAAAGTAATTTTTCTTGAGCAAAATCTGAGCAAACAAAAGACAAGTGTTTTGTGAAGAAAAATCAAAACCCTTACACTAGCATGACTTTGTTAAAAAGGGTTTGTTGGAGCTGACGTTGGAGTCTTCATAGGGCAACACTTTTTTTTTCTGGAAATGAACCAATTTTAAAAAGAAAGCAACAAACTGTGCAATTTTATACCTGTAAAAATAATACAGCGTTAAACTTGATAAAGTCAGCTGAACTGTTGAGTGTTTTTTACCATTATTTAAAACATATGGAGGGGAAATAAGTCTTATCTACTTCAACAGGTATAAGTGTTAAAAATAGCCATTCAAGAATAAATGTTAATTTTAAAAGCAAGGTATTCTATGTGTTAACATGCTAGCTTTTAAGATTTTTTCAGCATCTTCCATGAAGGGTTTTTTTTGGTGTAGTGGGTAATTTGACCCTTTATTAATAATATGACTGAGTGTCTTATATTGTACAAAACATTTGGGAAATAATGGTTCATCATCTCCCTGTAATAACACCAGCAATATTTCTCATTTTCTCTTTGTAGTGGTTGTGCTATATGTGCAGGGAATTGGGACCAAGGAGTGGAGGGAGGTGAGTGAGAATCTTTGCTTCTCTGATCTATTCTTCCTTTATTTGATCAATACAGAGAATTTGGATGATACACAGATGGACAGGTGCTACTGTACATTCAGTGAGTTTATAATACAAAGTATGTAGTGTAGTCAAAAGTTATTCAGTATTGCATTTATGTAATTTTAGTTTGGTGTGTTTTAAGAGAAACTGAATCAAGCTCTTTTAGCAAACCATCATGTTAGCAAACTGAACTATAGTAATACTGCAATAATCTAGTTTTTCTTAGCTTGCTTGACACCAACAGTATAGTGCAATGTCAGAAAAAGAAATTTTGGAGAAGAAAAACTAGTGAGCGATGCATAAGCTAATCAGCTATTCCCAAGAAGAAACTATTGTGATGAAAGGCAGCAAATCTTAATCTAATTTTAAGACAAAAAAACATTGCTAAGTGTAAATTTTCAATCTATTTCTGATGATGCATTTTCTTACTTGATTTAAGACTACTTCAAAAAATACATCGTTTTGTAAAGTTTAAAAGGTGATTATCCCGAACATCCAGACATGTTGGAGAAATCTTGTAAACATACTTTTCATCATATAGAGCCCCATGCTTCATGAATAAATGAGAATCAAGACATTATCCATTGTATTTTAAAAAGTAGAAAAACTATTTGCCAGTACTACGCTTTCATGATACATCAATAGTATGAAGGTAATTTGTGGAATTTTCAGATATTCAAAGAGACATATGAAAATTATCAAGAACACAGAAACTGGCAGCTTTTTCTTCTTTCTTTGACATTTCCATTTTTAATTTATTATTCTAAAATACAAGCATATTGAAGTTTCACCAATCTATAGGGCAGTGGTTCCTAATCCTAGTCCTGGTGACCCACACACCTACTGGTTTTCATTCCATCCTATCTGATATAGATAATACAAGCCTGACTTGATCGAAGAAGGTGCTTCATTTTAATATTTGCATTTTGCCTCCCCTCACAAGTTTGGGATTTTATTTCACTTACGAAATACAACAGTTAAAGTTCCAACATGTTTAAGAGCTCGGAACGAACAGTTCAAATTAATCGCAAATCAGTGTAGGTTTTGATTGTGTAAATGAGGGCTCAGCTGGAACAAAAATCACCAGTTTGCGGGGCGCCAGACCGTGGACTGGGAACCACTGATGTAGATGGTTGCACTGACAAGATACAAAGTAGCTTTTCAGGTCAATGGTTTGGTTGAGCTGGATAAATGCTTTCCCCAATAGAGGAGGGTTGTGTTGGACACGTGTTGAACTTATAAAAAATTAACATTCAGGGGCATTAGGCACAGTTTTTTTTTTTAATGTCACTTTTGCCTGTCTCAGCACTACAATGTGGTGGAAGGAAGAAAAATCAATGGGATTCTCCAGCCTCAGTTCCTTAAGCCTTAAGGAAGTGTTGAAGATGGCCTCTTCTGTGAAGGAAGGGTTAAGATTGTGATGATTTCCTGTATAGACTAAAGTCTGCCAGTCTGGTAATTTCTGGATGAGATGGGTCACACACATTCAAGAATTGAAAGTACTATACATCATGCTTTCACCAGTTACTGGAAGTGACGAATGTGCTGATACACATAGACTACTGATATTCAGTTCTGAGGGCTTCCATGTCCACCATGAACATTTGGGCTACTTAATATTATATACACCATTCTAGGCTTAGCTAATATTGATCTTTTTATCTGGCGTTTAATAGCCTTTTTTAATCAATTATTCACCTCATTGGTCTTCATTGCCACTGTTTATAGGTCTTTACTCATTGAGATTCATAAATTAGCTATAAACCCTGGTAGACTGTGGCCCTTCGGATTCAGAAGTAAATATCACTGACTTAGATTATATAGTAGCAGTAGTTCTGTATTGGACTGGCATCCCATGCAGGGTATATCCCGTCTTGAATCTATTGCTTGCTAGTTGATGCTCAGGTGTCTCCCAGGACCCTGTACTGCATAAAGTGGTTAGCAAATGGATGAATGGCTAGTAGCAGTAGTTTACATCAGTCAGAAGGAGGGCAAAAAAATATTTTTTCCTGGAAGCAGATTTCCTAGTTCTTATTTTAATGAGTCATACTTCATGTCCCTCATATGCTAATGCCTATGTAGTCTCCTGAGAGCTGCCCCTCTGGGCCAGGATAGTGCCTCCTTCCAGAAGTAATATATGACCTAGATTTAGGACCACTTTCAAGGAAGATCCTTCTGGTATTTGCATTATGCTCTTGCTGGTTTCTGCCTCAAGACTGAAGAGCTTAAAAAAATAATCCTATGAATTAATAGTATGTCTCTCTTTGTCTGTCTCTTGCCACATGGATTCGATATGTTCATTAGTGTCCTGCCAATTAGAAAACATCAATCTCTTACTGGGGTTTAAGTATTGTTACGGATGGAGCTAGGGTTGTTCCAGGGGTGTTCAGTCTTTCAGAAATTCCTCTACATCCTCACAAGCTTATGAGGCTATGGTTTGTTGACCTATTACAGAGCTTTTGATATAGAAATGCATAAATCCCCTATCAAAGAGAGGGGACTCTCAGCAGCAGTTTTTTCAGCTTTGTATTGTGTTGCAAAATAAAAGTAGTTTCTAAGGCTGGTCTTTCACAGTAGCTGAAAAAAGCCCAGAACAATGCAGCTGGCTATAGAGTATCCTGATGTCAATATCTATTATTTGTGGTACTTAAAGTCTGCAGGGATACAGTTTTGCCCTCACCGAATGCCCTTGTCAGTTTTTTTGGGGGGGGAGGATCACCAGCAACCATGGGGAACAATGTGACCCCTGGATTTAGGGATGAAATCTACAGTTTAAAGACAGTTCAAATCCCAAATTCTTTTGTTATATTTCACCTGAATAGATTAGCATTCTTTTTGTGTTTAATGAACAAATTGATTAATTGATATATTTCCATTTAAACTGAATTTTTTTCTTCTTTACTGGAAAATATTCCATTCTTTTACTGGGCTTCCCTATGGGTTCAACCAGTAAAGGCAACTGCCTCAGCACAGGTTAAGCTCTATGATAGTAGTTGTTTCGATTCAAGCCTGGGTCTTGTCTCTGGTCAACTGCTCTTAGAGGTGTGAAGGCCAGAGCTCTGTTGCCTGTGAATGACCACACTCCTGCGGCCTCCTGGGCACTTGAAGATATGTGGTGACCGATAACTAAGTCTAGAGCTAAAAATACCGTACAACGTTGACTTCAGCCAGAGCTAGGGTTGCATTTTATGAACATTTTGGAAGCGTTTAATGAGCAAAATCTTGAAGATGGATGGGTCTACAACTTCCCAATAAGGTACAGTATGTATGCCTCATAGTGGTAAGCTTTTGGTTATTCCAAAATCAAATGCATGTAACAAAAATAATTAACCATTCTAAATGTCTAAAAAAATTAAAATCTCTTACTTCTCACAGTTGACTCTTGGGGAACAAAAGTCATTAACTTGCCATTTCAAAGTGTCCAGCTGGTCATCATTAGTTCAGAAATTTTAAAGGGCAACCCAGTGACTCACTGTGTCATGCAAATCAGAAGAAGAAAGAGCAAGAAGTCACAAACGGCATTTTTTAAACTGTGGTATTAATTTCCTTAAAGGACCATTTTAACAAATATTTTAACATCACTTAATGTTTTATAGTATATCATTGGTACCTCTAATATTTTACTTTCATAGATCCATCTGATTCAAGGGGCAAATGTGCTTCAGAACTGACTTCTTCATTTTTTCTTAGACTGCTCTCAAGACTAAGACAAGCAAATCTGAGAAGTATAACTTACTAAAGTTAGACACTAATTAAAGTATTGGTTACATGAAACATTCTGGAGCAGAGCCTGGTATATGAATAAAACCTTGCTTGACCTGGTGATCTGTTCTCGTTCTGGAAAGGGAGCTTGTAATAAGAACTTTTAAAATATTTAAACCAAGAATGAACCTGGCTATGGTGCCAAATTAAATGTACTTTTATAGACCTACTCTGAAATTGCAGTTCAAAACCTGTTGTGCAGTATTTAATGGGGAAAACATCTCATGCACAATTTGATTTCACTCCGAATGACTTGTATTGTCTTATACTCCTTTAACAACATCCATTGGAGGAGTGATAGTGGTAAGCGTCATATTTAATCATGCAAATTTAAAAATTAATCTACAAACTTAATACCACATCTTGTGCATTGTTATTGACTGATAAAATTGAGAACGTCGTATTACAGTAAATGTATCTAATTTTTGCCAAATCCCTAACCTTTGGGAAAAATGATCATACAGCATAGTATGGATACAAAACAACATCTTGATTGTTCAAAGGATTAGGATTGTCATTTTCATGTTTTTTATTTTGCATTGTGACTTTGCTTCATTGTTTTCAATCACATTTGACAATCGAATATTTAATTTACTTAACTCTCGTTAATTCTGCCACATCCTATTATGTTGATATTTTTAATTATTGTTGCAGAGTTGTTTTGCAGAAATTATTTCAAGGTTTGTAAATCTTTATTGAAACGCATATTAATATTAATGGAAAGCTAGATTTCTAGTATTAATGTCCACTTCCAAATTAACCTTATGAAAAAATCCATAATTCTTCGAACTCCTAATGACATTAATACAGATGAATTATACCTTTCCTCCTATTATAGGTCACTTACAGACTTAATTCCAAGACTGAAAGTATTAATATTTCATGCTTGGAGAAGTCCAATCCAATCAATACCTAAATATTTGCATGGGTTTTTACTTTATAATCACTGTTTTCTCAGGTGTGTTTCTTCATATTAAACTGAGAAATGAGATTTGTTATAGCTGGTGGTCACATTAAAGGTAATTAATGCAATGTATTATCCTTTGTTAAGGGCTGTGTTTATATTACCTAGATAATTCAACTTAGATGAAATGACACCTACACACTGCATCCATATCACTTAATACGCCAAATGAGAGAAAGCTCCAAATTAAAAAGTAATGCACCATGCACATTTGCAGTTTTAAAAGGGAAATTCTCACAAAGCCTAATTATTAAGTTTTCTCTACAATATATTTCCTGTGTACATTAGTTGCTGGCACATGGGGCCTCTTTTAGCACTTTCATTTAAGTTAATATTTTCTCTCTTTGCAGATACCTGAAAGATTGATATTTTCTGCCATCATCCTGCTATTGGAAAAATTACACCAAACTGGCAGGCAGACAGATTTCTACTAGAACCTGTGATTCTTTTTTATCTTGTATAACATTTTTTTGCAGAAACAACGTCCATTTTGAAAATAGTATTTTACTTGCCTGCTTTTGCTTATCGTACACCACAGTACATTCATTCTTTGCCATGTACTTATGTACAAAGACAGCATCAATAAGTAATCTCCTCGCTAACCAAAGATGTATGCTAGCTTTGTAGAAGACACCAGTAACAGTTGTCTAGCAGAGCACAGTAAATTACTTTCAGAGTTTGGAAACAAGGGGGTAATGAAAATCTGTTTGCACTGATTGAAGAACTCTGTTTCACCGTGGAGTTTGCTGCATGAAAGACAGCTGTTGTACAAGGCTTACTTAGTTGCATTAGCATCTTAGGTGCAGTCTGTTTACTGTTCAACAGGTTACATCACAGCAGAGTGCCAGTCTGAATGAAAATGCGATTATACTTTAATATTTGCAAATGTCCTTGGCAAGGGTGACTTCCAATACATATGACATTCACCTAACAATTGCGCTAGACAAAATTAAATACAGTTTACTTACTAGAGTATAGAAAGCTGAATAGAATCACAAGTGGTGTCTCAACACATGTCTGTTGAACAAATGCCAAATGGTGGTGACTGGTTTGAACTGATTATTGTAGCTGTTGGTGATCATTGTGGACTGCTGTCCACTGCTGAGGAGCTAAGGTGAAGAATGAATGGGCCCTGAAAATGGTACAGTTACAGAACGTCTGGAACAGATGGAGCAGAGAATGTGTGAATGGGTATAAGGAGAGATAAGAGGAGCAGAGGTAGAGGCAGATTGGGTGAGACAACGGTAACAGATGCCTGGGGTTTTGACAAAGGCGTGGTGATAAGGAACCAGTGGACAGGCTGGTGTAATGGCACCATGAGTAAAGCAAGATGCGGAAAAAACAAGGTGAGCTGCAGTCTTCTTAATGGGTTATAAAGGATTGATCGTTTTCAGTAAAGGCTGGCCAAAAGGGAGTTATGATGCTTTCAGTGGGAAGAGTAGAAGAACTGGAACCTTCTCTTGCATGGAATAGTTGCTATGGAAGGGGCAGAATGTGTGACTGTTGGATTGTGCCAGAGAAGGATGTCTGGGAACAGGAGAGAGACAGTGGTCAGAAGTGATGCCTCAGCTCTTGGGAGAGGAGGAATTGGAGAGTGATGGTATGAATAGAAATCAAGAGGTAAATGGAGGATGGAAGTAAAGAACAGTAGGTCAGATTTGCGAATTGGTTTATGGTGGTGGGAGTTCACTCGGCAGGAGATGCAAGAGGAGGGTGAAGAGGAGAGTGAAAAGAATGAAAGTGAAAAGAGAGTAAAGACTTGAGCATTAGCAACATGCGTGATACAGAAAATCCTGGCAAGTGGTGATTGTGAACATTAGGGGGGCCCAGGTGGAAACCGATTTAGAAAGAGATAACAAACCTAGCGAGGAGACTAAATATGTGTGCGTAGCACCATACAGTATAAGCAGAATTGGGTAAAAGCAGAACGTTCAAATGTCCAGATTCTGTGGTCTGAAATTTGGGTGTTCAATTAATGGAGACCCAAGAAATGTCACTTTCATACTCGTAATGAAGTCTGTCACCCAGGTTTCCATATCTTTACCCCTGTTTTCGCCTTCCTCTACAATGACTTCAGTGACTGTTTGCAATAGTCCTGTTTAATCAACACATTTCCAGATGACCTTTCTTGTTATACAGTAAGCAGAAAAGGCACATTTTGTCTCTCAGCGTGTTTATTCATGAATCTTATTTTGGACACGATTTTTCTTTATGTATGCATTTGCACAAATATTTCCATATACTGGATCTTCTGCTTGGGTACATACAGTATTACACATTGCTCCAAAAGGCGTATAACTGTGTAATGTGGACGCAGATGACTGTTTATTCCCTTTTGAGACTGTGTTGCATGGAAGGGTTAACTTGGAGTGTTAGATATAGAGCTTGAAATACAAAATTACCACAGCCTCTCAATAGACCGAGTAGAGTCTCTTAATTAACTCATCTTCAAATTGATGAACAGCGTTGTGGATATCTCTGTGGGTGTTAATACTGATAATAACCTAGTTATTTGAAAGGCATTTAAATACAAAGACCTTTTCCCTTACTTTTCCTGGGGAACAAAAAATGTTAAACAGTATAGTGTCTTCTGTGGAAAATGTTCTAGGCAAGTTCCCACTGTAAATCAGTGGTGGTCTTTTAATAGCAATGTTATTCTCTACAGTGTTAAGAATTTATTGGAATATTTTTTTTATATTACAAATATAAACGCATACTGTACAGTACATCCATGAAGGTTTTTTTTAAAACAAACTATCCAAATTGGAAATTAACTGGATGTTGTGATTACTTACCCACACATTAGGGTTAAATTACACAAGCAGACAAATTATATTTGCATTATATCTTTTCATCTGCATTGGTAGTTAGCATTTTGGGAAATGCTGTTTGTGCTGCTGGAATTGGATGTGTATGAACCATGTCATAGTTGGTGTTAATGGAGCAAGGCTTTTTTATAATAGAGCAGGAGTAGTGGTGTGTTTTTCCAGCTAACACTTGGCCAATAGGGGAATAACAGCATTGATGTGCCCTAATTCATTTCCTTAACCTGTCTCTGCATTGGAGATGTGGATTGACAACTGCTGTTTCTAGATGGGTTGAATAATGGCCTCTTAATTGTAACTTTTTATGTTTAGCGCCAATATCGCAGTATGAAAACCTGATCCTGTTTTTCCCCTTCAATAACAGGCTGCTCCATTAACACCGTTTTTTGATTCTTATTCAACGAATTGTTTTGCCAGGGATATAGTAAATGGTCATATGAGGGATAATCTGCATATATGATTTAACATGCCATTTTTTTATGCTGTACAAACAAATGCATATTTTAATTGAAGGGATTTTGGCAAGTCTCCCTTTTTTCCTAATCTTTATCCATCGTAAATTAAATACTTGTTACTAACTTAGCCACCAGACATACTTTTGCCAAGTCTTAGTTTAATCCAGTGCACCTGGTACCTTTTACAAATGTGCTTGATGCTGTATTTGGACCACTTTCATTAGATGACCTAACCAAGCTATAAGAGGCTGAAGAGGCTATTCCAATTCTTGATCAATACTCTGAATGAAATGGGCTTTATTCTGTGTCTTCTTAGCGGTGTGCTAATGTCTTTGAAAGCTGGATCTCTACTGTAGTTAACAACAGTCTTTGAGGCCTTCTGATCTCCTGCCTCTCAAGAATTCTCTACATATAAATTTCTTCGCAAAAGCTCCCTGTGATGATGCGTTCGAGCACACAAAAGCGTAAGGGCTACTAACATCATAAAAATTTGCTTTGAGTCATGACATAGTGAAATGCATGAGCCTTTAGAGCTGTTGTTTTTCATTTTGTGATTTTGTGTCTTCCATACCACTGTTGTTGTTGTGGTCTGCTGTGTGAATTGGTATGCTTAAAGAAATACATCCAGCTAGTTTTAGATTTAACAAAGGAATTTTGGAAAGTAGGAATGTTTTATTATGAAAAGGATTAAGGTTGGTGGAGTCCCCTGTGTTTGTGGCAGGAAGAAAGAGTGTGGACATGCTATAAAGGAAATGTTAAAAAGAGGAAAGAACAGTATTGGAAGAAGGTTTTATTTCAATATAAAATAAGCTTTAATAGATATTGTTAACAAAATGCTTAATTTGGATCAATTTTCCAAAAGGAGAGTAATCCCCGAGCTTTGCTTTCTGAAATTTGTTGCCAGTGTTCTCTATAATGCTAGCTTTTAATTAAAAAAAAAACATTACAGTTACAGTTTTACATTCCTGAGTTTCTCCAATAGCAAAGCAGCTAGGTTAGGAAACCACTTTACCAATTACAAGATCTGGGAATTCTAGCATTATTACGTTTTACAATTTTTATTGTACTTTTAAAATACATTTCTGGGCTTTCTTGACCTTGAGTATTGAGAAATGTCACTAATCCAATGTTGCCTCAACAAAAATCAAATTTTCAGTGTTATAAGGTCTTGCACATTACAATAATGCCCTTAATTTGATATCAGAGTTGTTTAACTCATGTCATAAGGTAGGTATTTAATTAAAACTCAGTGCTTTACAATTACAGGTGTTTCAGGAGTAAAGCTAATAATTGTATTGGTTTTCTTAATTTGTGATCCATTTAATTCTGTAATATTCGAGCAAAAAATTCCTTCTCCTTTTTTAAAAGAAACACTGCTTTCTTTAATTCTGGTTTAAATGCAAAGGAAGTGACTGTGAACTGATAAGGAGACAAGCAAACTGTTCAGGCAATAGTGGAATCAATACACTATTAAGTCCTGCTGCCAAAATGAGCCCCTAAAGACTGATGGGTATTTGTGAATAGATACTGATTTTAAAAAGATAAAATTGAAACCAATGGACTTTCCTATCATTATTTGAAAGTCAGGGGCTTTCCCCCCCAGTAATCTCCCTATTTTCACAGACAACTAAAATTCTGTTTTTCATTTATCCTTTTTTCTATTCTAGTTTGGCAGAACCGAAGTGATTGATAACACGTTAAATCCGGATTTTGTGCGCAAATTTGTCCTGGATTTCTTCTTTGAGGAGAAACAGAATCTGCGATTTGATGTGTAAGTAAGAAGATAACACTTTTTTTCCCCTTCACAGATTAAATTTTAGAATTTAGAAACAGTTGATCTTTTTTGTGGATTACTCTGCATTCTTTTCTAGGAAGTCTTAATTGTGTTGAGAACCAAAACAATTGGTTTGAGCAGTTTGTGGATGAGCATGTGCATTTGTTAATGATTGTGTCTGAATAAAACAATAAAATGTGAAGGCACAATTTAAAGCTTTGTTTTTGGTTCAGATCAGCCATACAGTACTTTTCATTTTTAAAGGCACTATGTAAACATTGAAGAATTTCAAATAAGGTAGACCTAGTGTATATAAATACAGGCTATGGGGAAGCAGGACTGTTTAAATAAGAAATAGTCCTACTTTATTGTGATAAAGTGCACTTTATTAATCATGTATTTTCAAGTGCCTTATTAATGCTTTTTACTGCCTACTGCCATCTAAAACATTTAAGAATAAGAGTAGGACAACCTTACAGTATATAGTATCATATCGGAATGATTATCAATTCCAATTGCAGCAATATCAGTGTGAACAGTAGAGTGGAAAAGAGTGGTATTTGCCCAGTCATACTAATAAAGTAAACAAGGGAAGTTTTTCACAGACCTTTTGCCACCCTAGGATGCGAGCAGTACCCACAGATTGAAGAATTGCAAATATTACACCAAATGCATAAAAAGGGGATGAAACTGAACCAGGAAATGAGATCCATCAGTCCTACTTTTGTACTGGTAAAGTCATGGTAATTATAGTTACATGTCACTTAGAAGAATACATACAGTAGGACATTATGGTATACCGGTCCTTTGATGTCCTGTAGTGAATAAGTAAAAACATTTTTCTTCCTGTCACAAAAATTACTGACTATATTGGATAAGATTAACAGACTTGTGTCAATGAGGCAAGTGTATCCAAATTAATTTGCATATCCATTTGTAATATTAAAATTATTGGGATGCTTCCCTAATCTCTCAAATGCTTTATTTCAGGAGCTAAATCTAGCACAAGACAATAAATCAGTTTACTGGTGCATTGCTTAACACTTTATACATACAGTATACAGTATGTAGTGGTGATTTAAAGTGTCATACTGTATCCCTTCAGACCTATGGCACTATTTGCTACCATTGAATTTACTGAAAATGTGCACTGTGATGAGAAAATGAAACACAAACCTTTTTTAACAGGTATATCATATATACCTCTAATAATCTTGAGTATATCTTAAATCCATGCTACAGAAGGATAAAATGGTTTTGTTTTACGTTTCAGATTTAGAACGCAGGTTTTACACAGTGATAACTTGGTTTATATTTTGTTTATTTTTGGAATGTAAAGGCAAAAATCAAATTGGTCTTAAATAAATACTGAGAACACAATTTGCAAGAATATAAAAAGACAAGCTTTTTTAAGCATTTTAAAACTATATTAGCTCCTGTCCAAATGCTTGCGATGAAAAGGTACAGTTTTTGAGCTCACTCTCAAGTCACTGGGATGGATCTATCATGGCAATGCACATACAATACTTCATCTCTTCAGTGACTAGAAATGTGTCTGTGATTGAATCAGACTTAAATGGAGACAAGGTGCCTTAGATGATAGAATTGCAGAAATGCGAACAAATGTCCACTAAGTCTGTTGTGAACTTCACACCCATACCAACATTTGACGTCCTGAACAAAGGAAAGAAAGTACCAGCAAGCTCTGGCTGTTGGAAAGCTTGCTGATTTGAATGCTTTTACCGTGGTGAATGTGAAATGGTTTCACAGCAACTATGGTGATACCTCACTTAAAGCAACATAAAACGATTTAGTAATAATCACAAATGTGATGGCTAGAAATTATTTTTTTCTAAAGAGATCAATATGTATTTTGTTTTTAATATGAAATTGAATGAGACCATTGTAATAACCCAAGTATAGCAAAATAAATCAAAGATCTGCAATCCATTTTATTTGCCCTGTGAATTTTGTTGGGAACAAGTTTACAAACAATAAAATTAAGAGACAAAAACAGTGTCCCTTCTATAGTATGTATATGCAGTTATTATTCTAACATTTGGTTTTAATCTGGGGTTGCATTTATGTACGGAAATTGCCATGTTTTATTAGTGTTTTCATGCATAACCAGGTTTCATGCAAGACTGTGATTTTTATCTCTAGACAAATGGTGTCAGATTTTTCATTATTTGTATTATTCTACTTGTAAATGTTGTTAGATACGTTTTCTGTAGTAGTGCAGCCAGCATCAGGCAATAGGAAAATGTCCTCAGAATTATGAATAGGATTTTGAACCTAATTTAATCTGAGTTTTCAAAACAGACATTGTAATGAGCCCTCTGAGACGGTGAACATCTGAAAGTGAAAAGTGGGAAGGTGTTCTGACGGAATTAAAAACCAGTCAGCCCTCCTCTGTAGAGAGCAATCGGCACTACAGGATGTCTACAGCAAAGTGCAATGTAGTGGCACTAAAATAGGTACCGAGTTTTATTTCACAGATTGATTTGTCCCTTTCACTGCTTACTAAAGGTATGAAACCTTTCACCATCAAGGAGCTGAATGCCAGTTATTGATAAAATAACACTTTGATCTTATTTAAAAAATGTTTAGATTTCTCTTCTATGCTCTTTACTTAGAATTCACTGTATGCTTCCATTTCCAACAAGAGTCCCAAGGGTTTTATCTTTCATTCATATAAGTGTCAGATCAATGGTTCATAAGTGAAATAGTATTCTGTGCTTATAAGGTTCTTGAAGTTATGGTCAAAATCCTTTTATTTGTGCAGAAGTTAGAAATGGCATTAATGTATGAGGAATTATTGTGAATCCTGTTATTGATTTTTATTGTGTGTGAAAACCATTGGGTAAAAAGTAATATTTGCAAAAGTTAAGACTTTGTAAAAAGGTTGCAATGAGCACTTTATATAACATTTATTATATAAATAAAGTGAATTGACTGGGAATCAGGAAAAGAGAGAGTCCAAAAAGCTGTTCTGTTTGCTGATGGAAAACATGAGTTTTATTTTTGTGTGTATAGATGCTGTGGAGAGCACTACTGCTTTCTAAAAAATGGAAAGATTGTATAATTCACACAGCATAATTTCTATAATAAATTCAGCATAATCCCAATAGAGAAGAAACTAGTATATGATGGTGAACTAGAACTATACAGATGAAGTCACCTCTATGAGCATACAGTATGCACTCTGGCCAAAAAATTTGAAACCTCTCACCAAATAACATGCTAAACTCTTCAAGCAGCAAGGGCATCCTGAACATGAAATGGTATTTATTCCTCAAATTGGGAAGTAGGATTCCCATTCAGATTAGGCCAGTGGCATGCAAAATTAATATTCACATTTTAATTTAATTAGGAATCTGTTAATTCCTACTAGTTAATATACTGTATGTGGATTGTTCTGGGTTGTGAAAGCTATAGACCTTGGTCTCATTCTCGAGTAAATGATGCATTACCCGCCTCTAAGGGTCAATTCATTGGGCTGGAGGGGTCTTCATATTTTGGATGGTGTGAGTTGATTCACAATGAGTCATAAGAATGAGGGATGTAACAAGAGTAAAAATGGGGTATGTTTTGTTCTGGGTACTTGTGACAGATGCCAACCTAAGTAAGGTGGCTCAACCAGTCTGAGTAAATTTAAAAACTCATAAAACCTTCAAAAGCACAGGGATGGAGTCTTTATTATAGGAATGTATTGAATGTTAATTATTAAGGATGGAGAATTTTACAATCACCACCCAGTGAGCCTATTTACAGAGGCCCTTTAGACCCTGCCCTTTAGCGACCTCAAGTGGCAGGTTGGCTGTAATTTGTGGTCCAGCCTGTCATGGTACGACAAGAATATTAGAATCACAAAAAACTTATCTAATTCATTTTGTTGAATGTAATCCATTAGGCCATTATAAAATGGAAACCACTGTGACCTTCTTAAAGCACTTAAGACTATTTCAGTCTGTGTATTTTATTTCATTTTACGGTGTTATTCTCCTTGTTTCATCAACGAGCTTGACTCATATTAATTATAAGCCCCATTAGGCTAGCAAATGCATTGCAATTAGTTGTATAGAGGTTCATTCTTATTCATAATCGAGAAGGAGACTTTTTGCTTTGCATTCCCCATTAACTTTCTCAGGATTGTCCATCTAAGAAGAGGTGGCTAAATTGCTCATTAAATGGAGAAAATCACCACTGTGGAATAAAAACAGCCCGGGGTTTAGTACTAACCAAGTTCTTGTCTTGTGGTTTTTTTTATCACCTGCCTTTTAAAGTTTCCACATCTGCTGCATGCTGTGTCTGATGTGTTCTGTATGATGCCATTGGGTTTTTTTTCCTGCCTAGATTTTCTTTCTTGACAAAGAATCAAAAGAAAAAAAAAACTTTTGAAAAGATCTCCATAAACATGGAGATCCCATCCCATTCTCGGTGGGAGAATTTAAAACTCAATGCCTTTTATTATTGGTTCTCATTTGAGCTGAAGACCAATGTTTTTTGCAATTCTAGGACAATTGGTCTAAATTACACTTACAGTACATAATATGTATCTCCTGAGGTGTACAGTATTTTTCTACATTTTAAGAGGACGCTTATCGGTTCAGGAATGCCATAGTGTTTTTGGAATTAGAAGTACAAGCAGTAGGCTTCTACTAGTATTCCACTCAATCTTATTACATGGATATTAGGAGTCACACCACCATCTAAAATTGAATATGACTGTATCTTTTATCTGCACTGCTGTGATTGTGATTTCTGAGGTGGAACTTGCTCAGAACTTTTTGAAAGATTCATGAATTTATCTTTTATCAGTTCTTCCCATGTCAGTCACTTTGCCCTCATATCAGCTGGACCATTTCTTAAAATGCTCATTGAATTTCCTGTAAAGGATGGCAGCAAAAGACATGTACACAGTTTGTGAATACAAATAACGTGCATGGACATACTGTACTCTGGCAATACCCAGGGGCAGTGTGCCATAGTAGAAACGTTTTATACAGTATGTGCGTCTCCGGTATATTGCACAGAATAAGGTACAGAGTGTATTGCCTCTTGTGTGAGGAAATTAAAACAGAGCATGGATTAAGATTTGTTTTTCCATCAGATAGGCTGCTTGTTAGGATCACAAAAAAAAATGCTGGAAAAAAAACTTTCAGGACCTCGCGCTATCATGTCCGCTGGTTTGGCAGTAGGCGGGTTGTTTCCCTGCTGTATGTGCTTGCTCTCTTCTTCCTTTGCTGCAGCACATACAGTAACAGAGTCTCGGCTAGCTATGCACATAAGTAAACAGAGGTGGACCTGTAACAAATTGGGGGTTTTGTAGGAGCAGTGAGGCAATTTCTAAAAGTAATAACACACTCCACTGGTCAGGGAATACCAAGTGGGGTCACGTGACTCACTCAGGGGTAAGCAGTAGGCAAAATGACTTTTTTTTGTGTCTTAACAAGCAGCCTAGCAGCCTCATGTTAGAACTTTAGCAATATATACCTCCTTTCCTTTATCCACTTTTGTTGCCCGTTTTCTACTGTTGTATATAATATGTATATGTATATTGGATTATATTGATGCCCATGAAGCTGTATTTGTGATTATGGAACAACAACAAACCTGAATATAAAGTCTACTTGCGTGCCAACGTATTCGTTGTCTGGCTTTAGTATACAACTGGGAATGCTAACCTGATCTGTGCTTTTTGTGTCGCAAACGTTCGTCCTGAGAGAGAGGTATTTGCATATTTATACATCATTTGAATCTGAGCTCAGAATAAGAAGAAATATGAGACTGTCCTTAATGAAATCCAGCTGTTATTAATTTAAAAGAAACAAAAGGCTCTGTAATATTGGAATTTTAAAAAAAATGCTTTAAGGCATTACAAAGTGGTTAAGCATATATTTATTTCTTTGTCATTCTGATTCCAGATTCTAATATGAATTTTTTTGCCACTTTTAAATGTAATAAATGGCCTTCATATTTACATTTTGGTAGTTTATTATACTGCAGTGCTAAATCTCATTTTCATAAAGCTCTTTGGATTTAATACAGGAATAATAATACAGGAATTTCATTTTATTCTATAAGGGGCAGCTCAATATTCCTCTTCTAGAGAGTGAGAGATTTCCTAAAGTATTTTCTTGTAATTCCTGTTATATTGCACCAAATTCAAACTAATCCACTGTACTAATTCTCAAGGTCTGAGATATCAGGGCCATGTCTCTGGGTTTTGCTTCTTTTCTGATGGCTCCCAGTCACCACTGCTGTCCGAGAACAATTCACTGATTGCTGTCTTGACTCTGCTAGGCTTCTTTCAAAGACAATTTTTTTTTTGTCATAAACTCTGTAACATTTAATGCAATGGTAAAATGGAAGAAGCGCGCTGGGGGAGTGAAAAGGTGCATGTGAATTTAAATCTGCTTTGCCCGTTTGCAATCCTTGGTGTATTGTAAAAACGTTTGCCTTGATTGGTATTTGTATTACGTGTTTGAAGCATTGAAAAAGACATCATACATGTAGCTGTAAAGAGTGAAAGACAAGTCATGATTCCATTGCTAACTGTTGGGCCTGTCAGACTGGAGTTTATTAACATTTTATTGGTGTTTTGTTACCAGAAATTGTTTAGTGAAGACCGGGCTGAAAATTATTTTTCAAAAATTGTGCCCACTCAAATCTTACATGTGTGAAAGCATAAGAAGACCATAGACAGTACTTGCTTTTAGTACCAACACATGAAGAGCTTGTGTATGAAAGGGGGAATAAAAATGATAAACAGTCAAGCCTTTGCAAAGCCTTTTAAGTTCTCCACTAAAATGTATATTTGTATACACTGTTAACCTTTTTATTTTTCAATGAGTAACATTTAAGAATTCATAGTAATTGATTTTTTTTCCGTGTCTTAGCAGGGAAGAGTATGGGTTCATTACGAATTATTTATTAATTTTGTTTTCTGGCAAATTTTCATCAAAACTGTATATTTCATGAGGCTTAGCATGTTTAGTTTCACATTTGGATAAAGCAGTAATCAATATAAAAGACTTACAGTCTTTTCATAGTGAATTCACAGTGAATGCCCTTTTTCTTGCAGATATAATGTTGACTCCAGAAGTTCCAACATTTCAAAGCATGTAAGTCCTATTATATTTTGATGTAAAAGATAAAAGTTATATCTTTTTCTGAGGTACCAGCTAAACCCTAAAATGTCTCCTTGTATGCCTCATTCTAGACACAAACCATTTATACTTTTACTGAAGTCGAAATGGCTGAAAGATTAAACAGCTTGGACAAGTCAGAGGGCAGAATTCATGGTTAGCAGTGCTTACAATTTCATACAGCCTCCCAATGGTTTCTAAGATTTTGGGGATCTTGCTTGCTGCACTAGTTTTCAAATCCTTGCTAAAAGTTTCCAAGTTGCTAATTGCTTAGAAATCTTATTTCTCCAAGTATCACTTCAGCAAACCGTTTTTCTTGTTTAAAAAATCATACTGAAACTCAAAGCCAGCACAGTTAATGCCAATATGAGGCAGCTATGACATGCCATCAGACTCCTCTACAGTGTGGAGAAATGAGGAATTAGTTCACCAGTTAATTAAGGGGTAAATATAGGGAGTGAGTGCAGTAAACTAGGACACGTGTTAAACCTCCTTTGCCGATTGTGAAATTACTTCAATACTGAGAATTTTTGTATATACCCAAGATTAAAACAGTCACCAGTAAAATTAAGGTTAAATCTAGTTTAATATTAAGTTAATTATTGTCTACTGTGTGTATTGTTCTGGTTCAGGATCTTTAAATCAGGAGAAGATGTTGGACACCTGGTTGGTTGCTTTAATGTACAGTATGTTGGTCTGCTGGTGAGCTGAAAAACAAGCTAATGTTTCCTCAACAGGAGAATGTTGACTAATTAAAAACAAAATAGTAAGTTTATTTTACTTGGGGGGGAAGAAAGCAGTCTTAGTCTCTTGTTGACTTAGTGGTTTCCGTAACAATGTCGTACCCTGTGCAGAAATGCATTCTGCATGTACATAAACCCCTGTTTTTTATGCCTAGTGTATCAGGAAGCATGACATTAACTGCACTGTCTTATCAAGCTAGTAGCCAGGAATTATTAGTCACACCTTCAGCCACAAGAACAAATAAACGAAATCACATTTTTTTAGTTCACGTTAAAAAATTGTAAAGAATTGTAAAATTTGTGAGTTGTGAGTGAGTTTTTTCACATTATTACAATGTCATGGTTCCTCTTAAGCGTTCTAACATCCTGTTATTGGGCAGTTGACCTTGTTGAATTTGTTTGGAAAAATAACTTTGAGGACAAGCTATTTATTGCATTTTTTACAGTAAACTATCATTTCATTTAAATTATCAAGGCTTTTTTACATAACTTTACATAACTTTACCAATATGGAATATGTGAAAGAACATGATACAAATTCTTTACAACTTTCAATTTCACTTTTTTCTTTTCAAGTGGCTAAGGCTTTTCAGGATTCAGCTTTCTATGATTATGTACGTCTCTATGAAGTACACTACATTCTAATGCTTGAGGAATGCATTTGTTCTCATGTTCTCACAGTGGGAGTGTACTGTAGATGTATACATTTTCAGCTTCGAAGATTACCCTCCTTGACTGCAGGTGGAGTCTGAGCATTTTTTCTTTTCTTTTCAGACATTCAGCTAACAGCACTTTTTTGTTTCTTTCCTGCTAATTCAATATGGATGAGTAGAAGGTAAGTATGTTTTGGATTGCCACTCATAAAATCTGATTTTTGGCTGTCAGTTTAAAGCTCATTAAAATGCTTAACATTTGTCCCACAGTGTTCGAAGGTGATATTGGTTTTCCATGTGGTGTTGAATGTGGAAAAAATATTCAGGTGCATTCTTGTCATCTTTTAGTTTGTAATGCCTAAATCCATGAATACAATATGTTTTGTGAATAACTTTTCTGAACTGTATTGCCCAAAAGGTAGAATCCTCCACTCATATGGTAGGTTGGTTTGGAGAGCCCCAGAGATCAACGCTTCATTGCTGGGATATGTCAGTTTTACAAGATGACAAAATGAGTTCTAGGGGTGGTTACATGACTTACATGTAAAACGTTTTGAAGTTTTTTGTCAGGGGTTAGAGTCATTGAAATTTGGGATTTAGTTGTTCTTTAAAAGCAAGCCGTTTCAAAGGAAGGAGGACAACCCCCCTCGGAATAAAAGGTGAAAAACTCACAGGCATTAGGACTGACTTAGGCAAATCTCAGATAATTTGGGCTCATTTTGCTTGTTTTGAAACGGTCTGTTTATCATAAAAGCCGTCAAGGATTTTGGAGGATATTTCCGTGGTCAAGCAAAAATTCCAGACTCAGTTTTTACCTGTACCCATATCTCCACATTTTTCCTTCTTTTTTGTACAACAGAGCTGTTGCATGCAACATCATTGTAAGTGAAGAAAAAAACCCTACTAGTGAAGAAGAAACCATTACCATTGAAGTGTATTAACAGGACTTTAATACAACCAGAAGCATTTTTATGTAGCCTTTTAGCGGCACTTGTATTGGTAACCTGTTGAGACATTTAAAGCAAATATGCCACAAAGATGAAAATGCTAATAGCCTCTTGCGCAAAACCATTTCAAACTGTGAAAGATTACCTTTTTCCTAAAAAAACAACCACAACTGCAGAAATAGGATGTGTTCTTTTGGTACTAGAGCTCAGAGGAGAATTACAGTATATGCTGTAGAAAGACTGAGAGTGTTTGAAAAGCACTAGCATAGTCATTGTAAGAGAGACCTTACATGGTCAAGTGAGAGGTGCAATACAAAACCAACCACAGTCCTGTATCTCAAAGATGTCTGCATCAAGACATGGACACCTGTGGCATTTTTAAATTACTGAGTTTCTCAGAAGTTTGAGGGGGATAACATTGAGTCTGTACCAACACACATCAGTCCTGTCAAGCCACTGTTGATCCAGTACATTCTCCACCGTACCTGCTGCCTGAAATTGGCAGTGGTTTGGTGTTAGTGACACAAGCAGGAATCCCTGGAGGATAAATCTGGAGGGTAGAAGTGGAAGCAGTATGGATTTGTGTGCAACAACATTCCAGTGTAACAGTGCCTCCATTCATCATATTGTTTTCAAGTAGTACACTCTGGTTGTTTCTGGGTGTTTCATAAGTTTTATCTGACTATTATGTTTGCCTATGATGGGAATCCTGCTGTGTTGATGAAAGCTAGCAATAATTAAGATTGCATGATACGGATACCTTACACATGCTTAGCAAATGCTGAGAACTATGTTTTTTTTTTAAATAAAAGCAGCCAAACCTGCAAAACCAGTTCAGCTAATTATTTTAAAGTTACAACTCAAAACGAAATGGTTAAATCTGCTTGAATTCCTCCGCATAATGCCTTTGTTCTTCTCTGTGTTTGGATCCTTAAGTGGGTTCTGCTTCATTTCAAAGATCCCATCTGCTGTGCTTTGTTCTTCCAGCAAAGTCAGTCAGGGCCGTTTTGCTCATGTGTTTGAAATCAAGCTCTTATAAAAGATGCACCAGAACTCATGGTCTATTTGGAAGCCTTTCATGGTGATGTCCTTTATCAAAAGCAATTAGTCATATTTTTGGAATAGCATACGGTGTGCCTGTTCATGCCCATGGTCTTCAAAGAGAAATATTCACCAAAGGGGAATTTTCACAGATGCTATTTACCAACAGAACTGAAATTATTTTAAGAGTTTGAAATGGTTTTAAGGAATGATTCTTTCTCATACTGTAGGTACTTTCTTGTGCAGAAATGTAATTAGCATTGTCTAATACCACCAGGCACTAATTAGCATCACTTTTAACAGCACATTTAATGCACAAATAGGCCCTTTCATAGATTTGAAATGGAGTTTAAACATTTCATCAGCAGTAATTTACTTTCCCGAAACTTGTTTTCAAAACAAAAACTTATTAGGAAAACAATATGTGGAATTTATCAAACAATTATAAGTATCATCACCCGAGATGCAAATCAATTATGACAATATTATGTACTGTATGGTCTTTCCCAAATACTCTAATATGGGCTTACTCATAATTGAATAATATCCAAACTTTTCTAGTGTCGGACTGATGGCTGCAAATATACAGTTTTCCTTATCTGAGAATACTTCTGTCTGTAGCAAATAAAATGCATTCTCTTCAGTCAGTGGCCTAGGGTAAGGCAGGGGATATGTTCCTACTGTATTGAAATAATTATTATTTCAAAGTAATGTTTTTAGAATTTTGCAAAAATCAAATTTACAAATGAGCTTAAAATATCAATGAAAACAACAGTAAAAGGCAAGATATCAAACATTTACCGCAATATACAGTACTATAATGTTTAACATAAATGTGTAAAAGCATTGACCTGCAATAATATCCAAAACTAACAATTGATAGAAAATAATCCTCGGAGTATGAAATTACATAACACAAGCTTCCTGGAATAATAAAATATTCCACGAAAAACGTTTAATGCATTTTAAATGTTACACAGTTGAAGGTTTTAGACCATTTTAAGGAATCCTTCTAACGCTGAGAGCACAGAGAAATATTGTTCTATCCTTCTTTAATGTTATACAGTATGTATCCTCAGGGATTATTTATGAATGGCTGTTAAAAACAGGAGATGAACAGTGAAATTTCCGCTTTCATTCCAAACCTGGGTTGGAGTGATCAATGACTTCTTCACTCTGAGAACTGGCAAGAGTCCTTAAAGTCACAGTGTATTATTCATGCACAAGCAGAAACAGTCACTGATGCTGCAATTCATTAATGTGTTTTAATACGTCTCTTCAGGATTTTCTTGGCCAGACGTTTTGCACTCTTGGGGAGATTATTGGATCCACTGGCAGTCGACTGGAGAAGACCCTCTCGTATGTCATTAATTTTACTTGAATTAATTAAAGATTTGAATAATGTTAAAACTTCCCAGGAGGTGAGATCTGTTGTGAATTTCTTGACAGTAGCAATTGATTTTTCCTTTTATTACCAAAATAGCAAATACTAATTGTATTGATGCAACCTTTTCTTAACGTGTGGCTTAATTAGTTGTTTTCTGTTTTTTAATACTGCTTGATAGGCAATATCAATAAAGTAATGACATTCACAAGGCTTTTAACACACCATTATAATATCTGCATTCATTTGTAGCAAATTAAAGACAGTTTAGGGTATTAATGAAATGGGTCATTTCTAAGACATCTTGAAACATGAAGTAGAAACACGGGGGAACAAGAAATATTGAACTGTTTGGATCTGGCATTTGGTTATGAATTTTAACCTCTCATAGCTTAAGGCCTTTTTTTTATTAAGTACTAAATTTGCTTTTAATATGTTCTGCTTTAGGTCCCTGTGTTTTTCTGGATAAATAGATCCTGAAAGTAAATGTGGGAATAAACCGTATTTATTTCTTTTGCGGTTCTTACCACCACAGTAAAATCATTCTTCAGGTGACGTCTACAATTCCACATACTGTACAGTAGCTGTGGTATCTAAATATTTCATGGTTACTGTATGTCAAGCTTTTGAGCAAGGGAATAACTGAAGTTTGGCTTTCAACATTCTGTTACACCTCAAAATACTTTTAATGATGCGATACCTAGAAATGAAGACAAGATTCTAGATAGCCTAACCTCTTTGCATTTTTCAATTCTATTTTTACAACTCTTGACTTTAATGATCCTGCCATAGAACTTACAGTAAATCTTTCCCCAGTAGGCTACTGTCCTATACAGCCTCAAGCTACATATTCTATTCTTATAAAGAATATTCTTATTCTCATCTTAAGATGAAACACTTTGCATGTCTTGTATGGTGTCCTGCTAGGTTGTATCCACTCCTTACCTGTATCCAATTGTCTGTGACTGTTCTGGGTTTTTATTGCATACTCAGATGTGAAAATGGTTTAATGTAAGTCCTGTTAATGAAATTCACTAGGATGTTTGTTGTTCTTGTCACCCCTTAACTAATCAGGCTGTTAGTTTTTGTTTTGTCAAGGGAAGCCCCATGATTACTGTCTTTGATGTGCTGTCATTTCTAATGTCATAATAAACTTCATTACACTGAGTGAACACAATGGCACTCAGTATAGCATTCCCACACCTATATGAACTTGTATTTTGTTTGTTACATTCCTCTAATTACTAATTCATTAATTTTCTTATAAGAAGTGGAATTGTTTTCTTTATTCCAGTGCAGTGCACATCACGTATATACTTTATTTAGGAATGTACATTATTCTACAATTTATCTAATGACCACTATTGCCTGTTATTAATTTACCCAGTAAAATCTTACTTTTATCTTGGGACTATAGGTATATTAAGTTCTGAACTAATAATTAGTGTCTCTCTCTTCACTTATTTATTCAACTGGCTATAGTCAATAGCTTCATGTTTTTCTAATTGCAATCTCCTGCATTTAGATGTGCAATACAAAGGCATTTTCATCATCCGCACATGTTATATTCTTACTCTAACAATTGTGCTGCTCAGAGCATAAAAAAGTGACTTCAGGGTTGTTTCTGCCTCTGTCAGTTTTGTTCCATTTTTGGTAGATAGCTTGTTGCATTGTTGTATGCTAAGATTAAAATCTTACTTTGATTGGATTTGTCCTTGAATTAACCTCTCCAGTCATTCGTCTTAAGTAAGATAGAACATCTTACTTTACAGATGTGGTTTTGCTTCAGTTCAGATGTAGGGTGCAGGCTTCTTTAGGTCCCATGTGTCCCTGAAGGTAATGCTGTTCAAATTTGTATTGAGAGCTGTAAATAGCTATGTATTTGATCACAACATGAACCATGCAAAATGGAGCCTCGTTGGTTTTAGGCAGTACTATTCGCTGGACTTGAACAGTTTCCAATGTTCCAATTGTAAAATTCCAATGTAACTGTTAGGCAACAGATATACAGATGAGAGACCTACAGCATCCTATCTGATCAATACATATTCAGTTCAATATAAAGAAATACTGAAAAGCTGTGGAATGATTCAAGTTTAGGTTTAATCCTTACCTGCTGAGGACACTTTCCAATGATGAACCCCACAAATAGCATTGTCTTTCTGGCTGGTTTAAAGTCCCCTCCTAGTCTTCTTTTGGTCTGAACACCCCTCTAATTGTGCCATTAACCAGGTCTTCTCATTTTCCTGAAGCACTGTAGCAGCAGGATCCATTAGGATCTTCCTCACAAGCAAGGATCTCACCACCTCAAGATTGTTAACCAGCACAAGATAAAGACAAATCACATGGATAAGCAGAGCTGCTTTTGAAACGGAGATCAACTTTCAAACTTGTCCTTATATCCTTGTACAATAAGCTATTTCTACTTAGTATACTTGTTTGAACAAGTTACAATAAATTCTTAATGAGGCGAAATAAACAAATTGAAGTTTGAAGAATGTGGTTGATTACCATCCTGAGAGGTTTGTGTCACAACTTCATTGTATTTTCGAATTAGGACAAAACAGAAACAGTGTGATAGTAAATGTTTTATGAATGTGTCACCTTAATAATGCCTTTCAAAGTTCTTCCACATGATATACGCCTTATTATGACATGATTAGTACCTTCCCAGAATAGAAGCAAATAGAATATGCAGGGTCGTCTGCCAGCTACTAATAAGAAGGTATCACCATTGTCTGGACATTGCATAATCTTTTTTTTAAAAGTCATGAATGACCATTGAACTAGGAAGTGCTTTAAACAAATAAAAAAAATGATCGGTAGTAAACCTATTATTATGACTGTATCATTGCTAAGAGCATAGCATTAGCTAGTCTGAAGTACTGTTGTAGGGAGATGATTTTGAATGCATTGTTAATGGAAATTCTCTTTTTCACTGTTGTTGAAGAATGTACTTCATGGTTTTGGCTGCAGGTCTTTGAAGGCAAAAGCCTGAAAGAGCAAGTTATTTCCCTAGTGATAAGTGATGGATGAAGGGGGGAAATGTTTGTGATACTAAATGGTCAACTCAAGACCACCACTCATCCATCTTACTCACATGCTGTGATTGATCACAGAGGTGTCAGTACCTCTGGTCAGTACCAGTCTGTCATACATTTCTGAGAATTTTCCAACAGGGGTAAAGGAAAATTCTGTTAAAGAGCCTGTCTCTAATATTTATTTGGGAGGCTTTGTATCTGTGACTGTGGCTTCCCTGATGCCTGCTGTCAATTTGTGAATGGTCTCTTCTCGTTTTGCTTTCAGCCCAAAGTATAATAGCATTTTGGTCTTGATTGCTAAATAGCAATTTAAGAATATAACCAACTTCACCAGCCAGTCTGGTTTGCTTGTAAAGGAATATGATGACCGGCACTATTCATTTGCCACTTAAGTTTTATTTTATTTCCATGTAATTTTCAGATCTTAAATAGGACAGTCTGCCATGTTAAAATGCATTGTCGTTACAGGAATATCCATGTTCAATAAATGTTAAATAAAATGAACATTTTTTGGTTTGTTTGGAAGGTCACAGGATAGGGAGTTTGACTTCAGAGGACATAGAATGAGCTGTAACGCTCAACATGTGAATTTAGAAGAGGATTAATCTTCCATTGCATAGCATTACCACTTGTCAGTACTTATGTTTATTCAAGCTTTCATACTTCTTAACAAGGTCAAATGGTCCCTGTTTACAAAGTAACCAAATGCTGTTTGCTGTTGTACTGAGGTTTTGGGGTTGGACTCTTTCCATGTGTAGATTGGCACACACTGCCTCTGATCCTTGTAAGCCTAAGTATATTGCTTTTCATTCCTGCATAGTTCTTTGACTTAATTCAACGGATAATATGACGAGTTTTCTTTTCTGATCCTAACAAAGTTGCCTTTCAAAATGACAAAGTCTCATATTGAAATGTCATGAATTAGGATTTAGTATAAGTTGAAAGTTTTCACAAAGGCCTAGTTAACAAATTATTAAACTTGAGGTTCCATTTAAATAAGAGCTTTGTAGGAACAATATGCTTTTCTGGAGATATTAAAATAGAACAAAATTCCACTGAAATGTCATACTTAATGACTTTGTATACTTCATCTACTCGTTGTGCAACATCTGTTTTGGTAGTTTGAACTCTGTCTGATTGCTTTCAGGATTCTTATGTCTGATTCTATTGTGTTCTTGTATATGATGTTACAAGGGCAACCATTTTATAGTGGTTTACAAGATATTAATTGTTATTAATGCTCTCTATCAGTTTTAATTATTATAGCAATGAAAACGAGTAGTATTGTGATGCTGAATTCAAGCTTACCACAGTATTTTCTGATGTTAAAATAATTGTTTAACAAATAGTAGTAGACCTTGAAAAGCTTGAAATATGATCCCTTTGAAAAACCTAGGTAAATTCTGCTCTCACATTTAAATACTGATAAACATTCACCCAATCCCATTTTTTTTCTAATTGGAGACTGATACTTTTCCTCAGTTACCATAGAAACACCATTGTGAGTTGAGAGAAATATTCTGTTTCTGTTCTGATTGTTAAAGCACCTCATAGAAATGTCAAGAAAAAGCATAATGACAAAAAAGATCTTTGGTTTTCTACCTTCAGTTTTATCAGATGCATGTTAGAATGGTGATGCAGTAGCTACTGGATTGTGGGGTGAATTTGAAAGGCTCCTGTTGTGTCTAAATAATCTAGTACTGTAGCTAAGTTTAGGGACATAACTTTTTTTAATATCTATGTACATTTTGGGGTCTAGTTTAATCTTATTTCTTTTTTCTAGTGCTTAAATACTTTCTACGGGAGTGCCAGAAAAACATATTGTAATAAAAGTATCAATTCCACATAGAAATTGAACAGGTTGTTACAGAGTTGAGAGAATGGCTTGTGTCATGTGACCTTGATAGGTAGGGACCCAAAGAAACCTTCTTTAT